GATACACTTTTCTCGGTAGGCAATATTCATAAATCACCGCACAGCCCACCCCGACCATTCTCCTACCCCCTCTTATATATACGCTTAGAATAAGCACCCCTTTTCCTGATAGAGGGATGCAGCGTCGAGGTCAACTCCCTTCTCCTTCCATCCTTCTCCGGCCGAAGAAAGGCCGGGCAGAGCGTAGGAGGGACGCGATGCTCTCTGGCGGAAAAAGGAAATTCCACGGAGATGGAGAAGGGAGAGAGAAGAAGAAGAAGAAGAAGAAGAAGAAGCGAAAAGAAAGGAAAAAAGGAAAGGAAGAGAGGGAAGAGAGTGAAGTTAGAAAACGAAGGTTACGGGGGTGGGGGGAGTTGTAGTCGAAGACGGAGTTACTTGGTACGAGAGGGGTTGGTCTCAGATTCTATTAAGATCTCAGTAAGTCTTGTTACACGGAGAGGCCACGCCGCAAATCTCGCAATAAAACAGCCAGCCGGTATATAACGCCGTCTCGAGCGAGTCTCGAGGCTTGGATTCGTTGCTTCGTTTACCGATGCACGGTGGCGTCGCCGAGTTACGTTGCCAAACGGCCGCACCAGGGGGTCCATTCCCCGCGTGGATTCCGCGCGTACACGACCATGGGGAGGAAACGGAAGCCTCGGTTAATCCCGGGAGAAAGCTGTGGCTAACGGCCATCAGAGCCCGGCCCCTCCCTCCGAAAGTACTTTAAATCGCTCGCTCTTTGACTCGAGCAAATCGTTGGGGCAGTTTTGATGGATTTTTTTGCCCAAATGTATAATGACACGAGACCGCGTACGTTATAACGTCTTTTGGTAAAAAGAAAAAAAAAAAAAAAGAAACGTATGAAACTAAAAGAGAAAGAATTTTACGGGGGGGAAGAAAAGAATAATCCGATCGAATCTCTTTACCTGATAAAGGATCTTACTTACCCGTTGCCAAGAATAATCTTGTACAAATAACGCGGTACTGTATAAATGGGACAATAGAAGCTTAAAAGGTAAATATGAAGATCGATGACGCGAGCGCGGCGAGCAGCGACAAGGGGCGGCAAGAATCGTGCGCTCGAGAGGATGGGAGGGGAGGAGGGGTCGGCCTCGGGGCAAGGGTCCGAAATCAATCAAAACATTAATTGAAAGAGCCGAGAAGACAACGGCGCCCGTTCGGCTAAGGCGGTAGCTACGGATGGTCTTGATAATCGAAAGATATCCCCGGCCAATAGCCGGCACGCCCGACCAACGAGGTAGCGAAAGAAAGAGAGAGAGAGAGAGAGAGAGGCAAAGTGGATAGAGAGAAAGAGGCGAAGAAAGGCGAGGAACAGAAAACAGAGGAGATAGACGAAGCGCTTGCTTAAAGAGTCGTCGAGCGAGAGGGACTTTTCTCTTTCTCGTTCGTTTCTGCTCGAGGAAGAGCGAGGAAAGGAGAAGGAGGGGAGGAAAATTCGCGGCGAGAGAGACGGAAGAATCGCGAGGTGATCGGAGGAATCGACAAAGGGGGACAAAATCCTTTTAACCTTCGGTGACGGTGAAACGGGCCGTCTTTGTTCTCGTTTGCTTTAGAGGGAGGGGGGCGCAGAAGAAATTCTTCCGGAGGGAGGAGGGGATATCCCGCGATATCGACGGAGGGAGACGACAGAGGCACGTATACACGTAGGTTATAACGATGGCCCTCCTGGGTACGGAGGAGGGGGCAGAAAAATTGTTTATCGGGGTGGTAAACTCGATCATTCTGGTCAGTTGATTCGATTCGTTCGTAATGTACCGCAACCGCTGCTAATAGTACACGGACAGTTAATGAACGCGATCTCTATTCAATTGTGGACTGGCGTTATTAGTAGAAGCGAGCGTAGCCGCTTTATTAATTAATGAATCGATTTTAGTCGGTGGCCGGTTAATTATTCAACGTCGGTCGGCATCGGTGCAACTGCAAATGGTTCTTTAATGATCAAGGGGACACCGATATTGCGCGTTGCCCGCCTGCTCCTCGTCCTCTCGTTCCATTCTATTCCTACGTCTACGCGCGTACCGTTTCCATCTCACCCGCGTTGATCGGATCCATCGCGCGTTTACGTTTAACCTCCACCCCACCCCACCCCCTCCTACGTACGGGTTTACGTTCGATCGAACCGGAGCGGTGGTGAATCGTGACCGGAAATCGCCATCGCTCGCCGCAACGATCGTTCTCCGCGCACCGATCATCGATCCGCGTTCCCGAAATTCGCGTAATCCCCTCGATCTTCCCTCTTATCGAACCGGCAGATTGGCCGGTTGCCGAACCAAACGAATTAAAGTTTCGGTTAATTATATTCGCGCTCGCGTGCCGTGGCCGTGGTCCGCCCACTCGTGACGAGACCAGGACTCGGAGAGGGGTTGCACGCGAAAAATTTACAACTCGCTCTCTCCTCGATCCAACGATGAAATTCCTCGGCAAAACTGGAGGATTCGTGGATGGATGGATGGAGCGAGGGGGGATATATATATATATATATATATCGAAGGCATGGCGTGAAAAAAAAAAAAATCTTGTAAATGGGATATCGGGAAGGGGCCGACGCCCAGAAGGACGCGGCACTGCCACCTGGCGGAATGCCCAAGGACCCACGGGAAGCTTCAATCGGCGTAAAAGCAACGCCTCTGGATAGGGAAGAAGCGAGGAAGGGAAGGGTGTGTGGGGGAGGGGTTAGAAGTTAACTTAGAAGTTCGCGAGTGAATCGCGTGTTCGCGACGAGGATGGAGAGAACGTGGACGTTCTCGTGTAAGAGAGGGATAAAAGAGAGGGAAAGAGCAAGAGGGAGGGGGTGGGGAAAGGGAGGGAGAAAAGGATGGAGCGTAGGATGGTCAGTCTCGGAGATACACGTTCGACCGGTGCACCCGACTTAAGAGGATTACATTTGATATTTCGATCGGGCAAAGTGGCTTTTTATTGGACATTCGCCTCGGAATTATCGCTGACGCGTGTCGAAAGACATTACGCGTGGCCGGCATTATTAAATTATATCTCAACTGACGGCCCTCCCCTCCCCCTCCCCCCTTCCTATAATTTCCTCGGCAACGCCTCGTGCGATCGAACGAAGATCGAACGTATTCACCTGCTTTCGAAGATCAACATTCATATTTGTTGGACGAGTGAAAAAAGAAGAAAATTAAAAAAGGGACGAAGAAGAGGAGGAGGAGCGATCGTAATTGCAGGATTATTCCTGAGATTCAATTGGAGGCGGCTTATATAAAAAAGATAGGAAAACGTAAAGAAAGATTGTCGGGGATGATGGTTCGTCTCTGGATATAGTAACGTTGTTATACATGGACGCCGTACAGAGGGAGCAACATCGATGCGGCGCGACACCGAGGCTCGGTCGTCACGGTCATACTTCTGCTTTTAGCCGGAGCTAATTAGCTGCACCAATTTGTCGGTGTAAAATAAACGTTTGCCTCGCTCGACCGTTTTCTCCCTCGTTCCAGTTTTCTCTCGATTTATTTGTGAGTCGTGCGCGGATCCAGCCATGCCTTCGAACGAGCCACACCGACACCATACACCCAGACGATCGTCCGCCCCGCGCGGATCGTCCAAACGCCCTCCTCTCTGCCTCCGTCTTCGTCTCAACGAAGGCTCCCGCCTCCCGCCTCCCTCTCGTCTTCCTCTTTCGTCTCTCCGCGGACTTCAAACGAAATAATTAAGTCACTCCGTACGGGAGGGCGACTAACGAGACCGCCGCCGCTAAAACTAAAACTGGCGCCAATTATTGAAATTCAAACGGACAGCCCTCGCGTTTCTCTCGGCCCGGTTGGGACGGGCAACGGACAGCCCCTTAGATATCCGGTCGCGACGAAACGTGGTAAGAGAGAAAAATGAACGGAGGATGATACAGCGGATGGATGAGTTTTGACGAGTTTAAGAGGGGAGCGGGATAAATTAGATCATCGTAAAAATCGTATCAATTTAATCGCAGCGTAGATAAACGTATATGCATGTAACACGGTTAAATTTGATTCAAAGATCAGTTGTTTACAGGATAAATCGTGAATAGTACTTTCATGAATGAATTTTTTTTTTTTTTTTCTCTTTTTGTCTACATAGCAGCTCGCACGAGGGAGATAAACATCGGGCGTGCGGCGTATCAAAGTCAATTAAAGCGAACGACCGATGTCCCATTCGTAATAACGGCGGTATTGTGTTATGAGCGCGATGAAACGTCGAGTTTCGCACGGTAATTCCGAACGTTGATTGAAAAAAATTCCCCGCGCCCCGCTGTAACCGAGCGCCATTTTACCAAAAAATTAACGGGTACACGTGAACGCCAGCATTTGACGGGATGCGGATTAGCTCGCTTCTAAGGAATCGGTATCGCTAACGGCAACCATACGAACGCGTTGCCTTCGTTGCTAATAAGGGACGAAGACATTCGAATCGAGTCACCGACTGAACTTACGTGTCACGATGAAGACGCGAAGAAAAAAAGAAAAAAAAAAATTGCGACCGCGATAACAGATTTATTCGTCGAGTACGAACTATAGCAATATCGGGACAGCGCGTAATTTTCACCTTCCATTTGTCTTCCGACCATTTTTTTTCATTTACCATCTTTCGCGTGCAAAGCGGATTACGCGGAATTTTATAACAATTTTCAAACGACGCGGATTGAGCGGGAACAAGCACGCGCGCGCGCGCGCGCGCACGTTAATCGCACCACTGTGGAAAGGGCAAATGCGGTTTTCACCGGAAGCCCCTGTTAAATTGAACGTGTGATCGCGCTCGAACCAGCCTGGCCGAATGGAACTTGTGAAATTTGAATTACACACCGCATCGCAAATTCCTCTTTCACGTTTTTCGTTTTTATCACTGCAATTAGCGATGATATTTGCGTGTAAAAAGAAAAGAGAGAAAAGAAAAGAAAAGAAAAGACAAAGACAGAGAAAAACACGCCATCCATTCGAAACGTCAAAAAATCATCGTAGAAAGTAAATTGGCAATAATTGATCGGAGTTTCTTTCTTTTCGAAAACTTACCTAACAGAGTTCGAAGCTCGAGCCAGTTTCCACGGATACCTTGTGCCGAGAACGATTCTCCAGATTCCCTCCGTCACGTGACACCACTACACCAGCTGCACAGAACAACGTTCACTGTTTATCATTCGACTCGCCATGGAAAATCGGAACGAGTTTGCGCGTAATTCGTTATAATAATCGAATATATAATAAACGGGTTAACTAACGAGTCGTTTCTATTCTATCTCGAAACGAGTCATCGCGGGTTCTTCGTGAACACCGTGAACGACGAACGATAGAGTCACAAGAGGATACGGCGAGATAGACACGAAACCGCCCGTTCGGCGGCCAGTTGTAAACTACCGAGTACCGCGTGCGACCGCGGCACGCCACCGAAAGTGATAAATCCCCACTTCTTCCACCGTTTACCCCTCTAGCCGCCCCACTCTCGTCCCCGTATCCCCACCACTCGGCGGATTTCCATCCCTGCGTCGCTGCTCTCGCCTTCCCCGCCGGTGACGATCCACCCCACTCCTGTCAGTCACACTCGACCGTCATCGCACCCGTATCCCGAACCCGAGGAACTCGCACAAGCCGAAACCCGTATTTGCACCCGCCATCAAACGCAACCCGCACTCGCTGCCCCACTCCGCGGCCGCCTATCATCGAACCATTTACGCTGCCGCACAGTTTAACTGCTACTCGAGCGAAATTCTCGGGCAGCGAGGAGCGCGGGGGTTCGCGTTTCAAGCCGATTAAGACGATGATCAAAGCGCCAATCGTATCGGTACGGAATATGTTCCCACGAGTCGAGTGCGGATCGGGATGGAGGAATAAAGAGATTTCTAAGCGGAGATGTTTTTTTCTTTTTTCTCTCTTTTTTTTTTTTTTTAAGAGGTCGATTTGACTTGTATATTCCTTGTAAGTTAATTAAATGCGGGAATAACGAAGCACCGACCGATACGGATCGTTGGAATGGCAAAGGGGAAGGACTCGATGGAAACGATTTTCATCGACCGATACGCGGTTTAATAATAACCACGCGGGCATCGGTCGTAGGAACAGAAGTGTCTCTAATTACCGTCCTTTCGAGGATAAATCAACGAAGGAGAGATTTGCTTTGTATCGAGAGATGAAAGCGTGTACGTGCAAATACCATATACACACGTATACACACGTTGCGCGCGGTTGAGTTGGAGGGAGGCAAAGTGTAACAAAGCGACAGAAAGGGAGAGAGAGAGAGAGAAGGCAGTAACGCGGCGGATCGTAACCCGAGTTGAGACATAGCGACGGAGGATTAACCACCGAAGCGGCGTGCTCGCATCGTAGAATTCCACCCCTAAAATCGCCCCTACGAACCCTACCATTCCTCGACGCGAGGCGAACGCAGGGATGGCATCCCTACTATATGTCTGGTTCTCCCGGTGGGAGACGCGTCTACCACCCCTACGAGGCCACACCTCCCATTACAAAAATTACACTGGTCGCTGATTTAGTGTTCTGCGCCGGTTCTTGGGGGGGTATCCGCGGGGCAAAGGAGGCACAGAGGCTCGGGAGCTGCCGTGGCGCGCGCGAGGGTATCTCGATGGGGTGGTAAAGTGGGGACGTAAGTAATGAAAGGGTTGCCGCCGGCTTCGAGAATCACGGAATCATTCGCCAGATTAAATTAGAAAGGCTACGACCTTTTTTTCCACTCCCATACCATCCACACCTATGAGCTACCCAACTGAAAATGGATTAGGCCATGTTTACCACCGCCATCGACGATGGGGTCTCTCTTTTAATTACTGGCTGATTTACGATCGGCCACTGATTAAATCAGGGAAAAAGAATGGATCACGCTCGTTCGCAAAACGATGATATTTCCGTGAACTTGCTCGTTCGACTCGACTCGTCACACGACTTTCCTCCTCCTTTCGTCCTCGATTCGTCGCCTCCTCCCTCCCTCCCCCTTCCCCCTTCTCCTCCCAAGTTTCCCACCCAACCCTCTCCCGATCGGTGCGCGGCTAAATTTAACGTCCGCCAAGTTTCCGGTTCACGGGAAACGCGCCGCTCTATTTTTCGAATCGGGATTTCGACGCGTCGGTTTACAATCCGCGTCCACCCTTTTTTTTTTTTTTTTTTTTTGGCCAACCCTTGCCGCGTATATACGTACGTGCACGTAACACGCACACGGCGGCTACGAGCCTTTTTTTCCCCCCTCTTTCCCTCTCCATTTCTCGCGGAGGACGAAATGAAATTGGGGCGATTGCCAGGTTTCATCTGCAATCAGGAACGAAACTATCTATGTTGAATTTAATTTCGTAGAATGTCGGGGGAGGTCCGGGCTGGTCGGTGCTTTTAACTCGCGGCGGCCAAGCTTGGAAACGGCGCGGCTCGTTTCGTGTCACTTCCGTTGGTTGGAAAACCGACCTTGTGTCGGGAATCGCGCGCAGAAAACACGGCGATGGGAGTGGATTTTTTTAAAAGCCGAACGGAATACACGGAGGAAGGGTGGTGGGAGGAGGGAGGGAGGGAAAATACCCATGGATCGTTTCGGGGAATCCGATTCTCACGTCCATTACGGCGTGGAAATCGTGGCGCGCTGTGATCGGTGTGACGGTGAACCAAAAATTCCGGCTAAGTTAATGGGTCGAACGGATGAATGATCCGTTCGAAGGAATAGGATGTATACCTGTGGAGGAAGCAGGGATGCAATGAGACGTGAGAACGAGAGAGAGAGAAGGAGAGCGAGGAAGGGGAAAGGTTGGAATAGAGAGGAGAAGGGGAAGATGGGAAAGGTACTAATCACTTCTAGGGACTTTAATGGAGGTTTTCTGTACGCCGTCTACTTTGTCCACGACTTATACCACTTCGAACCGGTTGGAAGTAGAGTATTTGGGAGAAAAAGCAGGCGGAGAGTAGCGTTACGTGTATTAAACTAAACGGCACTCGGGTAGGTAGCTAGCTCGCCCGCTATCCAGACCACCGAGTTCTCCTGTCTCCCCCCGAAGAAACGTTCCGTGTCGATGCCGAAATAAATTCCACGGCCGCCACCCGCAACCACCCCCTTGTGCCCGACCCATTCGAGTTTCGCCCCGAACGGATTTATTTAGCGTTCGTTAATTAAGAGAGCCCGCGCCGGTTTCAACTTCTAAATTCGATCGAGCTTTTCTTCGATAAAACCTAAATTTCCCGTAGTCACGCGATACACCCTTCTCGCCCCACCCCAGTAATTGCCAGGATGTTGCGCTGAAACAGGGAACACAATTCAACGTCCGTTCCCGTTAACGAGATCGTAATGATAATTACAAATTTTCGTTCGAAATCGATATTTTTAAAAAGAAAAGAAAAAAGGAAATTCGTCAATTTGCGATCATTGTATATATATATATATAATTTTAACAAATCTAGGAAAAAACGACGATCGCAAAATCAATATCGAACGGAATTGTACAAAATAAGAATCATAAACTTGGAGTTGAATTTTCTAAAAGAGAATAGACCGCGTACGTGGTCGACGTTCGAGGACACCATCTGTCCGATCGAACCGATTTTCACGTGCAACTTCCCCGCCCAGACACGAGAAGCGAATTGGGAAAAATTTGATGGCCAAGTTTTCCCCGCCAACACCATCGCTCCCTGGATATTGATATCCGGACCAAGGCTTTCCCGATGAGCGAGAGGACAAACACGCGCGGAGAGACGTCCCGGAGCCCCGTTTTCAAAGTTCCCACTCGACTCCAAGTGCATCCTCCTGTCTCTGTTCCGCTCAACATCCGCCCGTCCAACACGGGCGAAGGTAGGAAGCGCGCGTGTTCGCGCTCCGCACGCTCTCCGCTCCCGTGGATTTATTATGCATGGACCTGATGTATCGGACATCGGCCGGACAGCTACGTGGAACGGAGTCCGGGATGTGTATGGGTATATGTGTGTGTGTGTTAGTGCCGCTCAAGTGGCGTTGCCCATCAACGAAGGTAGACGTTATTCTCAAGAGTGGACCGAGAAAGGACGAGCGGCCAAGGATAAAAAGAAAGAAGAGAGTAGATGAGAGTAGAGCTACCTCTGCCCTCCTTCGCCCACTTTTCCCTCCAATTCTCTCTCTCTTTCTCTCTCTCTGTCCTGTCCATCTTCGAGCTAACTTCTATTCGTCTCTACCATCTCTTATCCCCGGTGACACGCGAGCCAACGCACGCGAATCAAATATATTTTCATTTCGAGCCAATTGTTCCCGTCCTCGTTTATTATTCGTTCTGATCACTCCCGAACGTCTTGTTCCAAGGTTTCATAAAATAGTTAGACAAGCGTTTTTTCCAGGCCAAACGTCTCTCTCTCTCTCTCTCTCTCTCTCTCTCTCTCTCTCTCTCTCTGCCCGATTACCGTCCGAGAGCACGCGTACCCTCTTGAAAATGCTCACCGTTCCGCATCTCCACGGGAAAATATTTGTGCAGCGAGCGCTCTCGCACCGTTACACGCCTCTCTGGCCATCCAACGCGAGTTCCTACGCGTTCGCCCCGTTGTTGCCCGTTATCCAAACACACGTAGATATCCTCCGCGCGCAACGTCAAATATTTTTCCGAGCGTGAACTCGGCAAACAACAACGGACAGTTTTTCGCCTATTAGGCGATACGATAGCCTCGAATTCTCGAATTCTCCGGATCGACGATCGGGAGAAAACGGGAGACGCGAACTCGGAACGTTTCGCGCGATGCGACACGGATTTTGGAGGGTCGCAGCCACGTCGAGATGGCATCGACGCTCGTGTGGCACAGATACCGAGAGCTTTTCTGGAGGAGCAGGGGTCCATTAGCCGACTCGCCTGTCTTCTGAGTCCATTACAAGATGAGCCACCATCCCCCCGAGCGTCCTACCCTCCGTTTCCAACTTACTCGACGATACGCTACGATCTATACTACAACTGTATAGATACACCGTCCCTCCCTCTCTCCACCGTCTCTCCTTCCCACTCTTCCACCCCTCCTTTCTCTCTCCCCCACCCGCCTACTCTCGACTTCTCGATCCTTCTCCTTCTCCTTCTCCTTCTTCTTTTTCTTCTTCTTCTTCTTCTGTCCGGCCTCTTAATCCTTTTTCTCGCAAATAGGATAGCGACGTAAAAAGGTATCGGCCATTACTTCA